TTTTATTTATTCATTCCTTTATTTTAATTTGACCAGAGAGACAGAGAGAGAGAGAGAGAGAGAAAGTGGGAAAGTAAGCCACCAGGTCTGGGATTCGAACCGTGGTCGGCCATGTGGGAGTGTCCAGTGCCTTAACCACCACACCACCTGCTGGTCCCCTGTAATACATATATTTTAACACTGAATGCCTTCATTAACATTTTATTTTGAAAAAAAAAAAGAAAACAAAAAACTTAGTGTTTGCCAAAATTATTATGCATGCTCTCTTTAAGAATAATCACACCTTTATGGGACCAGCAGATGGTATAATGGTTATGTCACTGGACTCCCACATAGTCGACCTCAGTTTGAGTCCTGGACCCGGTGACTTGAATTCTCGCCGGGCACATGTGTGTGTGTGCCCAAGATCCTGAGAGGCGAATGGAGGAGTGCAGTGTGGACTTCCTTCTTGAGGAGTGATTTCTCGCTTTCTGTCTCTCCAGCAAGTACACATGCCTATAGCTAAAATGTCTTGAAAAAAAAAAAAGACCCTATAGCAAAAACCTCTCCAAAAAAATAAAAGAAATGACGTGAGAAGGATTAGGTTTGCATCCACAGGCCTCCCTGAGGACACAGGCATGTGGATACCATGATTTAGGTGTAGATCACAGTGTCAAGACCCTGTTTGAGGCAGTTTCCAATAAATAAATAAACTATAAAGAAAGACTATCTCTGGAAAACTTTTTTTGTTTCTTTGTTTGTTTTAGATTTTTTTTTGCCAGAAGGCATGTGCACTCACTGCAAAGAGACGGAGAGAGATAAAGAGAAAGCAAACAAAAAAGGTTCCCCATGGGGGCATGGTCACACTGTAATCACATCTCTACTTTTCCTTTCAGACTTGGGGCACGTAAATGTACCCAGTGTATTCTTCAAGCTGCTGGGACTGGAACCCAACTGCAAAGTGGGCCATGTGGGATCCAGCTGCCTTAACCACTAGGCCATCGGCTGGCCCCCTGACAAAATTTTATTTTTAGATTTCTTTTTTAGGGCCACAGAGTGTGTACACTCACTGGAGAGAGACACAGAGAGACAGTGGGAGAGGGAAAGTAAGAAATCATCCCCCCCCTGGGGGGGCACACTTCAATCCCTTCTCCTCCATTCTCCTCTCAGGATTTTGATCACATACGCACATGCACCTGACATGTTTTTCAAGCTATCAGCTCGGGACTAAAACCATGGAGTCAGCTATGTGGGATCCAGCGCCTTAACCACCATGTCACCTGCCGACCTCAATCAAAAATTTAAAAAATAAACAAATAAAAAGGAAAAGAGTCTGAGTTATAATTGTGGCATAAACAACCAATCATACTTAACTGTGGCTCCGAGCGGCTTTGAATTCACAATTAAACATGCAGTTATAAGGAGAGCAAAGTCATATATCAGAGGGCATGCAAGTGCTCAAATTGCAAACCAATTGCAACTTACTATTGAAAATAGAACTCAAAACAAAAGGCTTTGGCCATAACTACAGACAAAAACAGTAGGAGGAAATCAGTATTTCAAAATAGACTGGCAAGAACCGTATCGCTGTGATCACAGCAAAAGCCTGCCTTTTTCAAACAATAACACCCCTCCAAAGTGCCGTGAGCTCAGCAGACATCATTACTTAGTCAATCTGCTCCTTAAACATCCAGAATGTTCTAAAGGAGCTAATTCGAATCAGAGAGAACATACACAGGGACTTCAAAATGTTTGCAGAGAATGGAATTGAAGTATGAGTTAATTTTTGTGTGCAAAACTATTTTGGAAGCCACACACAGTATTTCCATAATACTCATTTTTCCATGAACTTTTGAAGACCCCTTTATAGAATTTCACTTGCCATAGTTAAGTGAACAGTTACTGATGGGAGTGTATGTTATCATTTCAGCTAGCTTGGGGCGAAAATAAACCACGGAAAGTTAATGACTAATTTGCTAGATACTGAAAGAAATGCCTGATAAGATATAGTCAAACTCTGTCTTGAATTAAAAAGAGGTAAATCAATAAAATCTTAAGGGTGTTCTTGAGGGAAGAAGAAATCGCTATTCTTTAATATATATCTCAAATGCTCTATCAATAAATATGACCTAAGTTCAGCAAATTTAGACCTCACTCACTAGCAGCTGAAAGAGTTTGGCTTTGATAAAGAACCTTCATGACTAGAGAATTCGGCTGTATAAAGTAGAGAGTGACATGGTGAATACTAGAAGCTGGAAGGGGAAGGAGGTGGGAAAATAGAGAGAACTTGGTTAATGGATAGCAGAGCGCATGTAAACAAGTAGAATGGCTTACAGAGTAAAGCTACGTCATATAGCTCCATCAAGAATATTGATGACAATCCAACGTATATTTCAAAATAACCAGAAGAATAGTTTCAAAGGTACACAATGCAAAGTAGTTATAAATATTGAAGCTGGGGGGTATGTTTACTGCCCTGATTTGATCATTATACATTGTACATATTTTGAAAAACCACACTGTAGCCCACATAGATGTAGAACTATTATACGTAAATTACGATAAAAATTAACACAGAACAAAACTAAAAACCCAAGAGACACATGAATTCACTCCAGGATCTGAGTACAGAACGTTAAACAGGGTGTTTAAGGGGGCAGGAACTTAGAAATCAGCCCCTAACCTTGAGCAGTATTTGATGATACTAGAGAAGAAAACAAAAAGTTTAGATCCCTCTTCCAATGGACTTAAAAAGCATGCTTCCAACATTGAATTATCAAAATGATCATCCTAGAGAAAACAGTACAGTTAAATACCACTACCGTAAGAACAGCAAACATCTTTTTAATAAGAAAGTTCAACTCAGGAAGCTTCCAAGACTGTGAGTCAGGGCATATCATTAAAACTTGGGAGTATACTGTTTGCCATGAGAGAGAGAAAAAACATTTCAAGGATGTCATTTAGCACCTTGAAAACTCCTTTTTCAAAAAGGAAGAGTGAAAAAGCAAGCTGACAGGTCCGGGACTCGAACCACTGTTGGCCATGTGGGAGTCCAGTGCCCTTATCTACCATGCCACCTGCCGGCCCCTGAAAACAGCTTTTAATGATGCCCCCAAAGAAGACTGTTCACCTTCTGCAGTGAGCATCAATTTATCTTTGTCAATGTGCTTTTTCAAGATTCTTTTGTTAAGATATTCCAGTGGCTAAAAGATCTAAATAAAGGTAGTTGGTCGGATGACAATCTAAATAAAGGTAGTTGGTCGGATGCCCAAAAAGTTATAGGAGTTATAGGAGTACTAATATGATATATTTAGGAACTTAATATAATAGCATGTATCACTATCAGATCCTACTAGACAAATGAATAACCATTACTTCTAATAATCATGAATATCATGAATATTCACATACTTACATAAACAAATTCATCAAAACTTATCTTCCCATCTTTATTCCTGTCACCATCCAGCATGAGTTTTTGAATAATTTCTCTCACTTTATATCCTGGTAATGGCATATTAGCTTCCTTGAAAAGCTCATGAAGTTCGTAGTCACAAATGAATCCATTGCTGTTGAGATCTTAAAAAGAGAGAGCAAGCAAGCAAGAAATAATAATAATGTATTCAGTGTATTTCCTTTTATTTGAGGCTCAGTTCATGAGCTCGCCTAAATACAGTTCTTTTCTCCTTGTGTGGAACTCAAGGATGTCTGCAAGGGAAATGCAAATTTTCATTGAAAAACCAAGGTTTTATATTGCGTAGCCTATATTTTAAACAGTATACACATAGCTTTATATAGAAAGTACTCTGGGGGACTGCAAATGGCATAATGGTTATATTGCTGGACGCCCACATGGTTGACAGTGGTTTGAGTCCCAGACCTGACGGCTTTGAACTCATGCGTGTGCATGCGTGTGCGTGCCCAAAATGCTCAGAGTGGAGAAGGGATTGTGGCATGGTCTTCACCCCAGGGGATGATTTCTCACTTTTGGTCTCTCTGGCGAGTGCACAAGCCCTACAGCAAAAATCTGTCTCTCTTAAAAGAAAAGAACAGAAAAAAAGAAACAGCACTCTGGGGTCAAATGGTGTCACAGTGGTCAAACATAATGCTCTATGAGGCAATTCCACATGGGAAGGTTCCTGGTTCAAGTCCGGAAACCTCCCTGAGTACAGCAGCCACACTTTGCCCACTATTTGGGGCTGGCCGAAGGCTGGGGATGAATCACGGCATTGAGACTCTGTTTGGGGCGCTGTTGCTCTCTCTCACTCGTGGAGTAAATAAACAAATAAACTTAAAAAAAAAAACCCAGCACCTCGAATTTTTAAGAAAGCATACATGGTTTATTAAACTATGAAAAATTCAGGGAGCTAAGACGACTTTTAAAAAAGAATAGACTGTACACCAACAACACACTGCCATGACATAAAACATTTTCCATTTTAACTATTTAGAAGTTTTATGTTCCTTAATCTTCCACTAAATTCAAAACAAGTTTTATCAATTAATGTTGATTTTATGTCAAAGCATACCTAAAATTGAGCAACCACCTTCAGTGCCAATTTTTTCAATCATTAATGTAAACAAACATTAATCCAAGACTAATACAAAGTTTGTAAAAGTGAATGGAGTAAGGCTGGCAGATGGCGTGGTGGCTAAAGACGCTGGACTCCCACATGGCCTACCACAGTTCGAGTCCTGGACCTGGTGGCTTAAAACTCATCAAACTGGAAAATAATAATATTAATAAATAAAGTTAAATAAAAAATAATACTAAAAAAAGTAAATGGACTACTGAGTATAGCAGATGTTTAACATATATAAATAAATAACCTTTTTGTGCTACTGTAGTTTTAAGAGTATGTATTAAAGTGCTTATTAAATAAAGGATATGTATATGTAAAGGCTGTTTTAAGTGAATAAAACAAAATAAAACTAGTCAATGCCCAAAAGTTTATTTATTGAGAAAGAGAGCTAATGTCCTGATGGCTGTAACCACTTGAGTATCTTTTTTTGGTGAATGAAATTTTATTTTCATGAGTCAATTTTTTTCCCAAGAATTATTATATTTTACCTTTATTTATTTATTTTATTTTATTTTGACCATAGAGGAACAGAGAGAGAGAGAGGGAGAGGAAAAGTGATAAAGCAAGCCGCCAGGTCGCCAGGTCCAGGACTTGAACTGAGGTTGGCCATGTGGAACTCCAGCGTCCTTAACCACCACACCACCTCATGAGCCAATTTCAAATACGTTCTTTCAATAATGCTTTTTATCCCAAGGTCCCACTGATTTTCAATGGTAAATGTAATTCTAACAGAAGACAACAATCCGAGTAGGGAGTTGACGGAAGATACAGCACTATTCACAAAAATGTCTTATGAATAGTTAGTCTATGTGATACAGTACTATCAAATGTGGGGCCTAGCCACAGTGGCGCAGGTAGTAGTGGCACTGCTGTGCAATCCAGGAGACCATATGAGAAGCCTATGGGTTCCTGTCCCCAGTCTACTTAAACATGCTGTGTAATGCCCTGCAGCCACACCCGAGATCCTGGCTGGCTGCAAGGCTGAGAGAATTGTAGTGTGATAACCCTGGCAGGGATTCCTCTCTCTCTCTCTTTCTCTTTTTCTCTCCTTCCCCCCCCCTCTCTCTTTCTCCCAAGAGATAAATAAACTTAAAACAACAACAACAAACACATCTCACTGGGCTAGCCATGGTGGCTACAGTAGTAAGGGTATTTTTGACAATGCTAAGGCCACATGGGAAGGTGCCAGGTTTGCATCCTAAGGTCTTCCTGTACGTGTGGGATGTGGCTATGTGACCATAATCCTAGCTAACTGAGGCAAGGGGTGAACTGCAGCGTGAAGACCCTATTGGGACATCCCACCTCAGAAAAAAAAAAAATGAACAAACTTAAAAAAAAAATCAAGTAAATACTAGGTACTGTTTGTGGGCCTGAGGATACCTTAGCCAACAAAGTTAAGTCTTTCTGTCAAGGAGCTCACATGCTAGTGACAATGAATAAACCAATATATATACATGAGGTATGACTGTAAAATATACAACAATGTAATATAACGACATAAGTGCTATGAAGCAAAAGTACAGCAGGTTTAGAGGGGTTAAAGTGGGACTATTTTGTCCTTTGCGGGACATTTTTAGGTCACAACTGAGGAGGTGGGCAGGGAGTGGATACTCCTGCCCAGGGATGATTCTAAATATCCTGCAGTGCATATGCAGCTCCCTCACTGTGTAACACAGAATATGCACCACAAAATGTTAATAATTCTGAAGTTGGGGCCAGCAGATGGTGTTATGGTTACATCACTGGACTCCCATATAGTCTACTGCAGTTCAAGTCCCAGACCTGGTGGCTTAAAACTCACGCTGGACACATGTGCATATGTGCCTAAGATCCTGAGAAAAGAATGGAGGAGAAAGGATTGAAGCATACCCACTTCCCTTGGGGGGTGATTTCTCACTTTCTGTCTGTCTCTGCACACATTCCTTATAGCAAAAATCACTAAAATTACTACAGTTTCATCTTATCAATTAAAATATCTGTACTTTGGAACCAGCAGTTAGCGTAATGGCTATGTCGCTGGACTCCCATGTAGTCGACCACGGTTCGTTTCCTGGACCCGGTGGCTTAAAACTCATGCCGGGCGCATGTGCGTGTGTGCCCAAGATCCCCTGAGGAGAATGGAGGAGAATGGATTGCGGCGTGGCCATCTTCCCTGGGGGGTGATTTCTCACATTCTGTCTCTCTGTCTCTCTCTGTCTGGTCAGCACACGTGCCCTATAGCAAAAAAACTCCCCCCAAAAAATCTGTACTTTTAAAACATTGACAGCAAGTTACTCAACACTTAAGAAAATCATTTATATTCCCTCTAAGGGAAAGCAATGAATTTCCCGAGTGCATACCTTCACTTTTTTTGCTTTCAATGTATAAAAGGTTATATATACCAAAATCTACATGTCTACATGTGAAGTATTAGTATGAAGATATTTCAAGGGACCAGCAGTTAGCGTAATGGCTATGTTGCTGGACTCCCACGTAGTCGACCACAGTTCGCGTCCCGGACCCGGTGGCTTAAATTTGCGCCGGGCGCGTGTGTGTGCATGTCCAAGATCTCGAAAGGAGAATGGAGGAGAAGGGATTGCAGCGTGACCATCCCCTCTAGGGGGTGATTTCTCGCTTTCTGTCTCTCTCTCTCTGTCTGGCGAGCGCATGCGCCCTATAGCAAAAACCTCTTAAAAAAAAAAGATATTTCAAAAAGTCTGTGGAAAATGGAATTAAGTATGAATTTAATGTAGTACAAAAGAATTTTGGAAAAACAAGCATAGTTTTTTTTTTTTCCTCATAATATGCATCTTTTCCCATGGAATTTTGGGAGACTCTTTGTATGTAGAAATCAATCTAGCACAGGGCCAGCAGATGGTGTAATGGTTACACTGCCGGACTCCTGTGTAGTCAACCATGGTTCAAATCCTCAATCCAGTGGCTTAAAACTCATGCCAGGCACATGTGCATGCATGCCTAAGGGGCATGCAGTGTGGCTATCCCCCCAGGGGGTGATTTCTCACTTTCTGTCTCTCTGGTGAGTACATGTGCCGATAGGAAAAATCCCTCTTAAAAAAAAAAAAGAAAGAAATCAATCCAGCACAACAGCTACAGTGGCTATGAGGAACAAAGTAATCCACATGGCTCTGCACCAGAAGTTGAGCCACTCTTCATGTATAATCCTTGAATTTAAATAAACCTGCTCCTATGCATCTTATCCATGCAGCAATCTGTTTCTCTCATTTTCTCATTTCTTTTAAAAACAAATTTTCATAGGGCATGTGTGCTTGCTGGAGACAAACAGAGAGAGAGAGAAAGTGAGAAAGCATCCCCCACTCCCATGGGGCATGGTGACACAACAATCCCTTCCCCTTCTTTTCTCAGTCCTTTCGGGATTTGGGGCACACGTGCACATGAACCTAATGTGTTTCTCAAAGCATTGGCTCCAGGACTTGAACTGTGCAGTTGGCCATGTGGTATCCAGCCTCCCTAACTATCACGCCACCAGCTGCACCCACCC